GCAGCAGCTCGAGATCGTCCTTGAAAGCAAGGCCGAAGTCGCGGGAGAAGACCGGAAGTCTAGAGAGGGAGACCAACGCAAAGCGGACGTCCTCGTTGCACAAGGCCTCCTTCATCTTCTCCTCCCAAGAATACGAATACTAGTAATAATACTCGTAATCATAGTACTAACAATAATCACAGTTCTGACAGTAGTAACAACAGTATGGTAGTAGTGAGGTGGGAATTGCTGGCGCACCGCGGGATGGAGGCTCATGTGGAGGCTAAAACAGATTTGCTGCAAGATCTGGGTTAGTGGAGTTGACTGGCTTTGCGAAGGATCAGTATCAAGGTGACGAGGCTGCGCGGTATGGCTTGGTAATCATCCATGTACGTGGCTATCTGCACCGTGTTGGGAACATAAGCTGCTACAACGTGAATCCGAAAACTGGGCCCATCATTATAGTCGTGCAGCACCATTACCTCTTTGCATCTTGCCTCCGCGGGCTTCTCACCGTCAAAGCTAGTGCGCATGGCCTTCAGCGCGCATCGCATGGAGGCCAAGATCTGGGTGGTATTGATGCCTCGGTATACAGGGTTGCTGCTAAGGGGTTGAGATCAGGCTGTCATAGAGAGAATATTGGTAAATAGCACGTTTGCTTATGGCGATACCTGAGCGGAAGCCCCTTAACAGCAGCCAAGCGTAAGTACGATGATGAGACCTGCAGACGTTGTACTCATTGCTTGTACACTGGCTGGTTGTTCATCATGATGATGCTCAGAGAAGAGCAATGCACGAGAAATGTTAGTAATAACACGCCATTGAAATGCACACCATCTCCTTGCTTCCGTCTCTAACTCTCTTTTTACTTGTTATGTTTCTTCTTCCTGTTCTCGTTCTACTATCGACCTAGCCCCGGTCAAGTCCCCTGCCCCACTTCAGTAGCTGGTCATGCACCCGGCGGTGAAGTCATGGGATGAAAGTCATGTCTATATCTCTGACAAGAGACTGTCCAACTTGTAGTACTTGATCTCCGTGGTGGGCAGGGTCTCCACCACATCACCACCGCGAGCGCGGAGCCCACGCGAAGGACGGGACCGCTTCGTCGGGGCCGCCAGGGCGCTCAAGGCCCCGACACCAACAAGCGTGGACCCAACGCCTCCGCTGCATTTTTAACTCTGGAAAAGGCAGTTGAACTTTGACAGCATATGAAGCTTCTAGCAGAACACCGCCAAAATCTTGGCCTAAAAATGCAAGTTCTGCACAAACATCGCCGGAACCAAAAAGGAAGTACGAAGGAGATCGGAGAGGCGTGCTATGCAACCTCTGCATTTCTCAAAGGTTCAGCCTGTGTATATGCCAACTAATATCTCTGTTTCCTGCCATCAATGAAGCCCTCCAAAGGAAACCCACGAGCTTCAGAAAACTTAAAACCCTTGATTCTATCCAGAAACTCCCTATGTTGCCTCGGTTCATAACCCCAATTGTAGTACTGATTCCCCAAACATACCGAACCACCTAGGACCCTCGGGGCAAAGCAAAAGGCATTCTTCACAGCACGAGCTGCCAGATGAAACTGGCGGCTCGCGAGGGGTGTTGGACTGGCCAGCGGACGTGGTTGCGGCTCCACGCAAGGCGGTGGATGCACTGGGAGAAACCTCATGTGAGCTATAGTCTGGCTTGATAACCCTTATACTACTTCCCTCTATAAGCCCCTATATAACCACCACTTTCAGGAGTTTAGACCCTCTCTCATGTCAGAAATGTTTAGGGTTTGGGGTGGGAACCCCAAGTTTTCTTGATGCTTCCCCAACTGGGCACGATGAGGCGGACGCTTTGGGGATTGAGATGCCTCAGGAATTTTAGGGCTATGGCCTCCTCATGTTGCTCAGCTTCTGTAATGTGATCTTTGCTCATAGGCGCTGCCTGTCGCTTCTTTTTAGTGAAAACGTGTCTTTGGTTTCTGCTTTGGGGGGTGTAGGTTTGACGTGTTCCTTCTTTGATCTTGGGATCGTGCAGTAGCAAGGTGACTCTTGTTTGCCGGTTCCGGTATACTACCGAAATCGAAAAAAAAATACTGAGCTTTGGAGAGACGGCATAGCTCACGGCGAAGGCCGCCATGGCGCAAGACGTGACAAGAGGGATGAAAATTTGGACTGGTACCCGCTGTTTGGCAAATGCCTTAAGCCAGGGACACCAAAATGTGAAGGCTTGCATATTCCTCACGGGACGCATGCACCATCGCAACCCCTAAGCCAAGAACCCAGGAACTTTGCTGGCCCCAAGCATAAATGCCATGCATTCAGCTTGTAAAGCCACGTGCGACAGCAGGGAACTGAGCCCCCACGGAGCCCACTTTCATTATTTGCATAATGCAGTAAGCCCGCGAAAACCCATCCACCCTCCCCGAAACCACACAGCCTAAACTCTTGAATGCCAAGTCTTACACCACCAACCATTTCCAGTTGTCTAAACACTGTGAGGTCTATTTGAGGTATCTGATATTATAATCATGCAAGGAACCTGGGACCGACTGTTGGCAACGATTTGGGCCCTTGTAGTACAACCCGGCCTTTGAGGACAAGCAATGCTGAAGCGTATGGATTTACAGTCCCCCTTGGTAGATAACATCTGGAGTATATGGGGATCTTAGTATAATAAACCCAAAGCCATATTCTATCTACTTAGCCGTAACTTGCCATCTGCTCCCGAAACCAAGTGAAATCATTCTCAGCAATTCAAGGGTTCTGAACGGACAAATTAATCCGCCAGAAGCCATCATGTCAGGCGTAAGGCGTAAGTATGGCCACAGAAAAACTGGAAGAGCCCCGCGATCGCCTGGCAGGAGCTCTCCCAGCACACGGAAAAGACGGTCCAGCGTCCTCAGGCTCAAGGGAATCTAAGAAAGTAGGGTTTAGTTAGTTTAGGGATTTTGCCGTTGCATTTGGACGGAAGAGCAGGTTTCGCGACAAATGGACATATGTGCACATGTATATATAGATATGTGTATATATATATATACACCTTTAAGGATGTCATGGCGAATTGTAGGCTCTGGGGTTCCTGCCTTGAAAGAGGGGATATAGTCGTTTTAAGGTTCCTCTAAAGGATGTCATGGAAAATTGTAGGGCTTGGGGCTGTTTACTTTAAAGAATAGGGTTTAGGGTTTAGGGTTTAGGGTTTAGGGTGTAGGGTTTTAGGGTTTAGGGTTTTAGGGTTTAGGGTTTAGGGTTTAGACCCCCCATAACCTTTGAAGCCAGGAACTCCGAGCCGAACCGGCGGGAGGAGAAGCGGTGAGCCACGTTATTCCTGGTTAAGGGCTTAGGGTTTTAGGGTTTGAGGTCTAAGGTTTTAGGATGTTTTAGGGTTTAAGGGTTTAGGGTTTAAGGTTTTAGGGTTTAAGGTTTTAGGGTGTTTTAGGGTTTAGGGTTTAAGGTTTTAGGGTGTAGGCTTTAGGGTTTAGAATCAAATTGCACCTTCTTGAGGGTTGAGTTTGGGTGAAAAGGGAATACATATTGGGTTTATTTTCTTTAGGGTTTAGGGCGCTGAGGGGTGTCAGCAATGTGGTGGCCTGTCTGTTACTTAAACTTACCGAAGAATGAAATGGAAGCAGAGGGTGATTTTGAGGTTTGCGCAGAGTCGTAAGTAAATAAACTACCCCCTGACCCTCCAGGTAGCCTCTCAGGGACCCCAATGGGCCAGACCTTGAAAGAACCCTAGTTAAGGTCTAGGGTTGAGGGTTTAGGGTTAGGGTTTAGGGGCTTCAGTAGAATTAAATTTAGAGGTTCTTTTCAGCGTTGACACAGATGAGGCCAAGTGTTAACAATAGAAATGGGGATAGCTGGAGAACTGACTTATTTCATGGTGGGTACTGGCCCCCACCCAGTAACCGTCTACAGCAAGCGTACCTTTGAGGACTCTATATATTCATGTTGTAATGATTCTTCAGCTGTGACTGGGTGGGGGCAGTGCCCAAGTTACATGGCTTCTGGAAATTTTAAGTATATTTGCCGAATCATCCAAATGAAATAGTCCCAGTCATTGTCTAAGTTCTTCTCCGATTAACTCTTTGTTATTGGGGTAATACCCTGAATCCCAAAATAAGTATATCAAGCTGTATAACCCCAGAGATCTCTACATATCCGTATATACCCTACCCCACCCCCGAGAGAAAAAAAGGAAGAAAACCAAACTTTATGTATACACATAAATGAATGTAATATATGTATGTGTATGTATCTGTATATATATATATATAGATAAATACATACATGAGTACATATATATATAATATTTGTAGGATACACCCCACGTTTTCGTCCACCCATCCGCTGGAAGAGTGCCGGCCTGGCGGCATCGCGGCTGGCGTGTACCAGGTTCCAGGAATCGTTTGGCAGCTCCTGGTGCTCCCAAGATGATAGGGATATATAGGGGTTTAGGGGTTTAGGGGTTTGGGGGTTTAGGGTTTCAAGTTTAGGGGTTTGGGGGTTTTGGGTTTAGGGTTTAAGGTTTAGGGGCTTGGGGGTTTAGGGTTTAGGGTTTAAGGTTTAGGGGTTTGGGGGTTTGGAGTTTAGGGTTTAAGGTTTAGGGGTTTGGGGGTTTAGGGTTTAGGGTTATATAGGGGTTATCTAGGGATGATGGGAAAGAAAATGGAAACTACTATTGGGGTTTAGGGTTTCCCAAAATTAGGGATACCTCTTTGGGGGTACCTATTATAAGGATCATAGTATGTTGCAATCTGTATTGGGGGTCTCTATTTTGGGAATTCATGTGAGCTATTATCGTGTAAGCTCCGAGTATCCTCCTCATTAACCCTATCATGCTCCCCTATATATCACCCATACAACCCCCCCCCCTTTAAGGAGCTGAGACTCTGGCTCAGATGGCTTAAGGCTTAGGATCTCAGAGCTTCGTAAGGTTTTGGGCTGTAAGCTTCAAGATGTTAAGGGTTCAGGGGCTTAGGGTTTTGAATTCTGGGGATTAGGCATCAAAAGGTATGCCTGATGGGGAACGGTTTGAGGTAGAGTACTCTTTCCATGGGACCAAAAGGGGATGTCTAGGCTGCATGGGAGCAGACGGGTAGAGTAGCCACAAGAATCCTGACCTTTCATACGCTCTCTTGATACAAGCTTGGAAGCAAGTAGAACCATCACGAATGGCCAGACTACACTGACGTCATCAATCTGGACACCCCATGCCAGCATGAAAGCTGATGTCCAAGCTTGCCACAATTGCATGGACTGCCATCAAGGACAATCTCGGCAGACCAGCAGACATGACATCCAATCTCCAGTAGCAATGGCTACTAGTGGCTTTCTGGAATGGAAACTGCGCATACTTGCCATTCAAGCAAGATGCTCTTTAGCTGTGCCTCCTAGCTCCAAAACCAATACTACACCCCATTCCTTTGGGCTCTTATACCTCCACCCCCACATCCAAGTCCTAAAGACTGCCCAGAAACGAGGGAAAGGCATTGTGAGAGGGACCCTGCCACGGAAATCGGCATCCAGTTAAACACCCGAAGCTCACAAAACGTGCTAAACCTTGTGAACCC